AGGCTGAGCTATATCCCTGGCCCTAAGTTATAAAATTTGAAAAATTCAAAACCACAGTGCTATACTCCATTTTCTGTGGCTATAACAATGCCAGAGACAGGGAACATTATAAAGAAAATAGGTTCATTTTGGCTCATGAGTCTGGAAGTGAAAATGCAAAGTGGTGGCACCTGGCATCTCGTGAGTGCCTCGTGACAGAAACGTGGCAGCTGGTGCTACTTGGTGGAATGACATAACAATGATCGTTTCCAGCCACAGATGCCTCTGGAAGATAGGAGGGGACATGGGAACAAGGGGCCAGACATTGTGCAACAGCCCACTCCCATGAGAACTAATTCATTTTCAGAGAGAAAATCCAGTCTTAGGAGAAAGTCTTCAATGCTTTTAAAGGCACCATCTTTAACATCACTATATCAGCAAGAAAATTTCAACATGAAACTTGGTGAAAACAAACCACAAGCAAACCGTAAGTTGCAGAAGCAAAAGATTGAACTTTGTGTGTGCTGCTGTGTACTAACATCTTTTTCAAAGCCTGAATTCCTTAAAACCTATTATGGGTAGGGTGTGGATATAGCTCAGTAGGAAAGCTCTTGCCTAGTATGTGTAAGGTCCAGGGTTCAACCCCTACGCCCAATCCCCACCATGCAAAGTTTTGAGTGTTAGTAAGGCATTATTTTTCCTGTGTGCGTACTATGGGGCTAGTGTATACAATTAAGCAAGCAGTCCATAGTGGACTGGTAACTGGTGGTGGTCAACTTGTTACACCCAGCTGAACTGAACTAGTGTGGTGCTGGGTGTAGGACATCCACCTAAGGATTGAGGCAGAAATGAAGGAGAAGCTGCTGGAAGCTGCTGGTTCTCTTGGGTATTCTGCTAGAGGGCCTTGTCATGTTGGCTCTCCTGGTGAACTTGGCTTTTCTCACTGGAAGAGGAGTTTGGGACCTTGTTGATGAGAATGGCTAAAGTTCACTTTAAGGGAGCCCTGGTCACCTTGAGCATTGCTGCCTGGCTCTGGAGGGGAAGATGGCACACTGCTGTCTCCTGGAGAAGCCTGTCAAGTTGGTTTTCTTGATGGGAACCCAACTTTCCTTATCACTGGAGGAGCTCGGGACCTCACTGTTGCAGAGGGTGGCTGTGATACTTCCGGACAGCTCAAGTTCTTGAGTATTGCTTCCTGGCTGTAGTTCAGATCCCTTGGCCTGCTGGCACAGATCCTTCATCCCAATTGCGTAACTTTCTAGCTTCTACCACTGGCCTTTGGACCCTTCCAGCACAGATCCATGAAACAGGCCTGCATGGGACATTTTCGTGGGCTCCAGGCCTCCAGTTGGACTTGTGGGAGGCATAGTTATGGGGTCTAGCTTTTCAGATGGACTCAGGCAGGATATTAGGATCCAGGCCCTCAGCTAGATTTTTTGGTCTTTAATGTGTGGAGAGATTTCCTGCAGTCTGTATATGATTCTACTTTTTTTTGCAGAACCGGGGATTAAACTTAGACCCTTGCGCTTGCAGAGTGCTTGCCAAGCATGCATGAGGCCATGGGTTTGATTCCCAGCTCCATACACATTCACAGACCACACTCAATTTTAGGATATCCATAATCAAGACTGTTATGGTTGTGTCTAGTTGTCCCCCCAAAGCTTTATCAGTCAGTGGGGCAGCTTCATGATCCAATGCTGGGACTGTGGACGTGGTGCTACCCTCCCTCCTGCCCCCCACAATCTAACTGCAATGTAAGGAGGGGAGAGAGGTTTGCCAGCAGCTGCAGCTGCTACTCCCCCTTTGCCCTTTGCTGTTTTCTGGTGCCATGAACTGCTGCCCTCTGCCATGTGCCACTCTGCCATGGAGCCAGCCGAGTATGGAATGAAACCTCCACTAACTGTGAGCTAAATAAATCTTGCCTTCCTTAACTTTGGTTGCTGGATATTTTGCCTCAGTAAGGAGAGAAGAGTAAGACAGATTTTGGTGCCATATCACAATTTTAGGGTACCTATAATCAATATTGATTTGTTTTTGAATAGGGTCATCATTTAGTACAGAAATAATATGAGGAGAAGACTTAGAAGACAAAATAATCAAGGCTTTAGAGCTACACAGACTTTTTATCACAGGTCATTTTTTTCACTTTGCCAAGTTTCATAACCTGAGTCTGTTTAGTTATCTTGAAAATGGAAGCCAAGGGGTAGGGGAGATGGCTCAGTAGACTAAGTGCTTGCCTGGCAAGTGCAAGGGCCTAAGCTCAATCCCCAGGTCCACAAAAAAAAAAAAAAAAAAAGCCAAGTATGGTGGCATACACTGGTAATCCCAGCACCTGGAAGGTTGAGGCTGGAAGATCGCTGCGAGTTTGAGTTCAGCCTAGGCTACAAAGTGAGCTCGAGGCCAGCCTAAACTGCCTGAGATCCTGTCTCAAAAAGAAAAAAAAAAAGACTTTTCTGAAGATTGCTCTTTATCTTACATTATTTTAAAAAGTAACATAACCACCATTTATATAAAACATTCCTGATCTAATAATTATTACTATATTGTGAGATGGTCACAAGCTACCTTCCCAACACAACTATTACACTGTACACTCAGAACTGCTTGCAAATACTTGAAGGATCACTGGGAGTTCAAGGCCAGCTTGGGCTACAAAAGGCCAGCCTGATTTGCACAGCAAGACCCTGCCTCTAAAAGAGAAAAAGAAAGAACAAAAGATTATAGATATTGTTTCAGATGCTGTGAAGAATATAAAAAAGTGAATCATGGGGAAGTATAAAGCAGTAAATTGAATTTAAATGTACCAGCAATGGTGAAAAGCCTAAAGTAACAATGCAGGGGGCTGAGTGATTAGAGAAATTTTCCAAGTTGTCTGAATTGGAGGGTGACGTGAAAGAATGGCAGCCATGCTGTCACCAGAGCCCCACGGTGGCAGTAAGGACAACAGCTGAAGTGTCCTACCAGTAACTCACATGATATTCTCACATATATTAACCTTAGTGATGTGCAAGGCTGCTAGATGGTGGTAAATCTGGCAGGAGATCAAGCAGGTTTTTGTCAGGAGGGCTAAGATCTGACATCAGAGCTGGGGATAGAAAGCCCTGGCCATTAAGGCTGTGGTTGCTGGGAGCCCCTCACCAGCATGCCCACCTGCATGCTACAGGGCGTTGCCATGGGAACGGGCCCTGTGGGACTCTGGTCAGCTTCATCCCACTCAGGAATACTGAAGGTGCCACACCTGGCTCCCTCTACCACTGCTAGGTATATATCTGATGAAAACTCCTACCTGCACGCAAAGAGCAAGAGACACAGATAACAGCACTCACACCAGGATCGCCTAATAGGACAAACTCCGTGGTACACAATAAAATAAACAAATACCATTTTGTAACAAAATGGATCATCTCAGACTTTATAAAAATGAAAAAGACAAAATAATATACATAGTATAAGTCTATTCATATAAATTTCAAAATCAATTCTTTAAATTGTGTATGTACAGTAACCATCTATGGGGCTATAAAGAACACATGATAAAATGCCAACTGGAGACTTAGGCGAATAGTACGAATAGGTTTGTTTTACTACTTTGCTACTTTCCTTAAGGTTTGAAAAGAATGGGAAAGGGTTAAAAATCAGCCAAAGCTAACGTATACTGTTTTGGAGTGGAAATGATACAATGATCACCAAAATCTGGCCCAGGGCAAACACGGGAAGAGGTCGCCCAGGTGAGAACAGAGCCTGGCGCAGAGCTGCCGCTGCTCTGCGGCTAAACGTCAGCACGGCCTCTGTAATTACTCACAAAACCACACACATGAATTCCAGGCATTTCTGCATGTGTACTTCACAAGAAGAAAACTGCAAAAGTGCTATGCTATATACTATAAACATTTTTTTGTGGGTAGTACTGGGAATTGAACTTGGGGCTGTGTGCATGCGAGGCAAGCACTTTACCACTGAGTTACATCCCCAACCCCATAAATACTAGTTTTAAAGAATAAACTCTTTATTATAACAAGTAAACATAAGCAAAAAGGCTTTGGCTAAGTGGATCTTTTTTTTTTTTTTGCTTGGTACTGTGGACCGGACACAGTCTTGTGCTTGCCAGATAGGCACTGTGCTGCTGAGATGTATCCCTGGACCCCAACCTTTTCTTTTAAAGCTGAGATCAATCATCAAAAGGTACTTTCCATGGGCTTTTTTTTTTAAGTTTCTTGAGATAAGTATCTCACTATGCAATTCAGGCTGGCCTTTAACTCACTTTGTAGCCCAGGCTGGCCCTGAACTCAGCAATACTCCTGCTTCAGCCTCCCAAGTGCTGGGATTATAGTCTATGGATTAATTTATTTTAAGGTTAATTATAATAGTTTTACATTAAAAAGCTTTTATTTTTTGAGACTATCTCCTGTGTAGCTCAGTCTGGCCTTGAACTCACAAGAACCATCCTGTCTCTGCCTCCCAAGTGCTGGGATCACAGGCGTGTGCCACCATGCCCGGCCTAGATAGTTTTCTCTCTTTTTTTCTTTTGCAATACTGGGGTTTGAACCTAGGACCTTGCGCTTGTCAGGCAGGCGCTTATTCTCCTGAGCTATAGTTCTTATACAGGCACTGTTTAATTCTGAATCTTAGTAAGTTTGATATTGGGTGATACATTCTTCCATAAACTGCAGTATGACCCCTCTCTGCTTTCTTTTTAGTTTTTGGCGGAACCAGGGATTGAGGTCCTTGCACTTGCCAGGCACGCACTTATTCTACTTATTCTACTGAGCTATCTCCCTGGCCCCTTTATCTGCTTTTTAGCAGGTATCTTATATATATGCAACTTAAAATTTTGTCTAAGACAATCTGGATGAAAGTTTTAATTATGCAAATATGACTAATTTATATTTATGTGGCTTTTACTATTTTCTATAGCTTTTTCTGATTTCCTAAACTGGGATTTCACAGTATTTTATGTGACACCATCAAAGGCAAAAAAGGTGATCAAAATTTTACAATGTTAAAATAATTTTTAATGTATGTTCAATTAATCCACTTGATTATCATCTGTGTCGTCTAAATCAATGTCAAAATCTAAGTCATCATCACTTTCTTCATTCCGCTTGCAGTTTCTTCTATGATTAGATCTTTGATTATTTTCACTATGTTCTGGTTCATTATTAAACCTAAAGAAGACAAAAATCCTGATTATTTCCCAGGCTTTCAGTATTCAACATAGGTTTAGAAGACCTTTAGCACTCTTTCTCCTTTTGCTGTGTTTGTGTGCAGTACAGGAGGTAATAGAATACTGTGCACTGAACCCAGGGCCTTCATCCTAGGCAATATCCCCAGGTCTTTAAAAAAAAAAAAAAAAAAAAAATTGAAGCAGGGTCTCCCTAAGTTGCCTGGGCTGGGCTTCAATTTTTGATCCCTTGCCTCAGCCTCCCAGAGTGCCTGGATTATAGGCATGTGACATGATGCCCAACTTTACTATTATACTGCGTAGGAGCCACTTGGGATAAGCACAAAGAAAAAGATCCTCCAAAACTATTCAAGATTCTACTAATTAAAATATTAAAGAAGACTCAAAGAAATTAATAATAGATGTCCATTAAGAGAAGGGTGTTAGGGCTGGGGATATAGCTCATGGGCATAAGCGCCTGCCTGGCAAGCACAAGGTCCCCAGTTCCATCCCCGGTACTGCGGAAAAAAAAAAAAAGAAAAGAAAAAAAAGAAGAAAGAAAGAAAGTGGTTATGGAATGTTTAATTGTTTTTGTAATAAATGTGTATCTCATAGCTAAATATCTTGACTTTTTTTTAATTTTTATGTTGAATATCTGACATTTTAAAATATGTAAAGTGTTCCTTTTATTGTAATATAGAAGCATTTTAACAACATTAAGAGTTATTCTCCCCATTAGGTAGAAAAAATGCCTACATTAGTGTGATATACTACAATCTCAGAAGAAGTTACTGTTAAATGCATGTATCAATTACTAAGAGTGAACCTTAAATGTAAAAGGAAATACTCACGGAACAACGTCTTCTTTCTTTCCACATTTTGCACAAACTTCCAGTTCACATGCACATGGTCTACACATTATGTGGTAAGAATCCTTCACAGTCTTCTGTAAACATTTAACGCTAAATGTAGAAGAAAAATAATTAAAAGATTTATTGATGAAATACAAGGTGTGCTTAAAGGTATAGGTGAAAAATCTAAAAATCTAAAGTTCTAGAGTGTGAACTTCGGCATGTATCTTATATAATTTCCTAGATAACAATTACAGATATAAAATAATAATTCTTGGTGTTCATCTAATTTCTTGAGGCTTTTTATGTGTCAGTGAAACAGGTCAAACAAGAGGAACAGACAGATCTGTTTCTCTCTATACTATTAACAAGTAAGGCCAAAAATAAAGCAGCTATCAAAAATTTAATGGAAGAAGTGTAAGACCAGTGTGCCGAACCTCACTGTGAAACATGACTGAAAGATGAGCACCAACACTGGGAAAGATACCTCCTGCTTGTGTACTGGTCCATTTAAGACTGGGAAGATGGTAGCACTCCCCAAACTCACCCATGGATTCAGTACAAGCTCTTATAACTCCAGATGGCGTTTTCCTTCCGCAAGAAACAAGTTGGATAACCCTAGAGCTTGTATAAGCATACCTTGTTTTATTGTGCTTTATATGTACTATTTTTTGACATAGTGAAGGTCTGGGGCAACCTCAGGTCAAGAAGTCTACCAGTGTTTTTTGGGGGAGAATACCAGGTAGTCACTTCATGTGCATGTGTCACGTGTTGGTAAGTCTCACAATATATCAAGGATTTTCATTAATACTGTTATCAGTTCTGGGGCTCTTGGATGAGTAATCTATTATAGTTGTTTTTGGGTGCCAGGAAATATGCCCTTATAAAGCAGCAAACTTCACTAATAAATTTTGTGTCTGTCCTGACTGCTCTACCACCAAGGTATTTTCTGTCTCTTTACCACATATATACATATATGTAATATATATGTTCCCATGTTTTCCACCACCTTAAACCTGCCTCAACACATGGTTTTCCTCTATAAAAGTCCCTGAAAGAGACAGTTTCCCGGGGACCACCTGCTAGGGGCCCCCCCCTCCTGTCTCTCAGACAGCCTTCTTTTTCTTAATAAATATATTCTGCTCATAACCTCTGTCTGCTCCTAAAATTCATTCTTCGGGTTTAGAGAACACGAACTCATCCAGGTACCTCTCAGGTCGGGAGTTTCATTTCCCCTGGGTCATTTGGAGGTTCCCTGTATCAGTGTCAGGGAAACAATGACTCTCCAGCCAGGAAGGCTCCTCCGGGGATATAAAACCAAGACATGTGATCTGGATCCCAGCTTGTTATAGTACCAGGTAAAAATGGTCTCTTGTGCTTCACTAAGGAGCCAGTCTGACTTCATCAGAGTGGTTCCCTTCAGCCATTCTAATTGAAAGCCTTTTCCCATCTGTTATAGCTTGCATCTAGTTGTCACCCCAAAGCCTCATGTAAATCATGGGACAGTCGCCGCTTGAGAGACAGCATATGGCTCGAGAGGCAGGGCCGGAGAGGCATGCACCCTTAAAGTGGCTCGCCTGTGCTTTCTCAGAGATGTGGACAGGGTCATCCGGACACAGCAGCACCCCAGCCTCTCCTCCAGTGTCTTGAAACCTCCAATAATTGTGAGCTAAAGAATAACCTTACCTTCTCTCATTTTGAGGGTAAAGTATTTGTCCCAGCAACAAGAGTAACTAAGTACCATCTTCAATTTTACTTTTCCCTGTAAATTCTTACTGTCACTTTAGTATTACATGACCCTTAAGTACAAGGACCTATGCTGGCAGATGACAAAACACTTTTTTTAAAAAAGGACAGGGGCCTGGGAGATGGCTCAGTAGAATAAGCACCTGCCTGGCAAGCGCAAGGGTCTGAGTTCAATCCCTAGTTCCGCAAAACACACACACACACACACACACACACACACACACACACACACCAGGACAAATGACACCGTAAGCGCCAGAGATTGGTAGAATATATGTGGGGAACCGAGATCTGATTCATACCAACAAATATACAAAGAACAGCCAAAACTTGGTATTGTAAGCAGCTAAGTTAGAATATACAGTTAAGGCAGTCAGCAGAGAAAATAAAGGCATTGGAACTGTGGCTGCATTTGAAGGCCTCAAGATAAAGTTTCAATGGCTAGGACCACCAACGTCCTAAGGGATAAGCAGTAACCTGGAAGTATATTATTGACAGGTCATGGCCCTAGTAAGAATTGCTGAATTATGGTGGTCTTCTGATATGGCTGAAGCCCTTAAGTAACAACTTACCTTCCCAATGACCACCTCCTCCTCCTTACCCACTCCAGCCCTGGGTACAACTTCCTGTGACCTTTCCCACGCATACAAGGGAGCCTCCAATCAGCTCCTTACACGTCACTAAACCCATCCCTCAAGCTCCGCCCCTGGCAAAAGTCCATAAACCCTCAGGCTCCCTGTCTCGGGTCAGAGGATATGCTCATCTCCCTGCCCTCGGACCTCTCCGTGTGTTTAGAGTCAATAAAGGCTTTCCCTCCTCCATTACTGCTGCGCTGCCGCCATCACTGTTGCCTCTTAAACCTATCAATTATAATCACCATTATGCAGTCCAGGAAGCCTAGCTAGGCAGTGGCTGCCCAGGGCATCCCAACCCAGTGGTGACCACAGCATCCCAACCCAGCCCTTCTCCCAAATGCCTTTGTTCTTTCCATGTACTTGTGAGGGGACTCACTTCCCTCTTGGATCAATATTAGCTAAGGAATTATAGTTGTAAACCATCCCACCTTTTTTTTTTTTTTTTTTTTTTTGAACCTGGTATTTAAGACAGGATCTCGCTATGTAACCCAGGCTGAGTCAATCACAGGACGAGGGCAGAGTTCACTCTGTGCTACTCTGTTGTAGCTTCCCCCTCACTTTTTTTTTTGGTCTTTTAAAGACAGGGTCTCACTATGAAGCTCAGGCCAGCCTGGAGTTCACTTTGTAGCTCAGACTGGTCTTGAGCTTGCAAGATTCCTCCTGCCTCAGCCTTCTGCATACTGGGATTACAGGCATGGGCCACCATGCCCAGCATATACTTGTAATCCTACAGGTTGACTGGTTTCACGAATGTTGTACCCACACCATGCTTTTGCTGTATAAATTACTCCTGATAAAAGGCCTTGGTGGCAACTCAACCCTGGGACCCCTCCTGTCTTTCTTGTTCTTAATCTGCATTGTCCTTTGGAATTCTTTGATTTTAGGGGACAGGAACGGGGCACACTGGACATCTAGCGGGTTGGGAGTTACATTCCTCCTGCATCAAGAGGGCTGGGGGGACAAGGAGATGGCTCAGTGGAATAAGTGCAAGGGCCTGAGTTCAATCCCCGGTTCCACAAAAAAAACAAAACAAAACAAAAAAAAAACCAAAGAAAAGTGAAACCCCTCTTTAACATATGATCTAAGTGAAAATAATTATTAAACTATCTGGGTTTAATTATTATTATTATTATTTTTTTTTTTTTTTTTTGTGGAACTGGGGATTGAACTCAGGCCCTTGCGCTTGCCAGGGAAGCGCTTATTCCACTGAGCCATCTCCCCAGCCCATTAATTATTTTGGTATGCTTGTATTTTATAACTCCAAAAGTCTTAATTACTCTGTAATAAAAATATATTCAAAATCTTTGTATTACAATACACATGGAAAAAAGTTCTAATAGTTCAAATGGATTAGGATAATTTTTAATTTTCTGGCTTTAACTTTTAAAAAAGGCTTTAACTTTTAAAAAAGGTTTTCAAATGATTTTTTTTGGGGGGGGAGCAGAACCAGGGATTGAACTCAGGCCCTTTTGCTTGCCAGGGAAGCGGTTATTCTACTGAGCCATCTCCCCGGCCCCCTTCAAATGATGTTTAAAGCTTAAGGGGGCCGGGGAGATGGCTCAGTGAATAAGCGCAAGCACAAGAGCCTGAGTTCAATCCCCGGTTCTGCCAAAAAAAAAAAAAAAAAGAAGAAGCTGAAATATTAAAGTCTGATTAGATTCATCTGAGACTCTTAAGGAAATTGGAATATGATTTCTTTTGTTTCATGTTAAAAACTTCTGGGGTAAACAAACTTTTAAATTGCTAATGTGGGGATAAAAATGTATTCATAGGACTGTCCGTGTGGAAATTTATAAGTAAAAGAAATTTTAAATGGATATCTTGTTTGGACTCTGGAGTCAAAAAGTTAGGATTTTTCTTGCGACCCCCTCAAGAAGGATGACTGCTTAAGGATAAAACAGTGTATTAAAATGCAGATTTATAGACCCAATGCATTATTTACATAACAAGAATCTTGGGCTTGGGTCCCCAGAATTTCTTTTACATTCAGGAAGCTCAGAAGTGCCGACCCCCATCACAATCACTGCTTTGACACTCTGCGGGAGTTTCCAGTCTCCTGCAGTGTCATTAAGACTACCAAGGGCAGTTTTGAGAACAGAATGAACTCCACAGCTGAAACCACTTTACTCTTTTTAAATTTAAATTTCCTCTGAAACCCAGCTTTGTTAGGCTAGTCACTCTGAATATAAATATACTTATCTTAGAGCAAAGATACAAACACAACTAAAATGACATTTTTCCTTTTTATATGACAGTTACGTAAATATTAATTGTAAGACCCAGCCCAAGCCCAGGCGCGGTGAGTGTGTGGGAGAGCTTCCAAACTCCCCTGTGCCCGCTGGACCCCTCGGGATCCAGCCCAGACCCCCCTGTGAGTGAGAACTTCCACTGCTCTCTCAGGACCCCTCCACCGCGCTCTCTGGACTCCTCCAGATGGGGCCCAAGCCCAGGCCCAGGGAGTGTGTGGGAGAGCTTGCATGCTCCCCTGCGCCCCCTGCACCCCTCCGGGCCCAGCGTGTGAGTGAGACCTTCAGCCGTGCTCTCAGGACCCTTCTGAACCCCTCCAGAACCAGCCCAGGCTTCACAGATCTGCACCTAGTAAGCTGAGACACTGCTAGACTCAAATCTATAAAAGCATCCTCCCTCTTGCGCTCTTGACTGAGAGAGGGGGCAAAAGGTAACCGGGGTGAACTAGTCTGCCTGGAAACACCTGGTACATTAAGGGGAGGG